AGAAAAACGGGAATTGCCAATGGGTGAGAACATTCCTATGATAAAATGCTATAAAAGCCAAAACAGCAACCAAAGAGCTTACAGAAGAGATAAATAGAGTACACTGAAACAAAAGGACAGCTCAAAGTGGCTCCTACAGCTAGAATGGCTGGATAAAAGAGAAGATTGTTCAGCCTGTCTTTCCACCAAAAATCCGCCATTTTACCACCACTTTGGGTGCGCGTTAATTAGAATCGCTTAAGTGCAAAAGGTCCATTGCCCCCCCCCCCAAAATTAAATCCTAGATCCGCCCCTGATCTTTTCACTTCTTAAGACTATAGGTTGGCTCTTTTATAGATAGTTGAGGCATGCAAGAGCTCATTCTTTATCTGTACATTCACTGGTTGTATTAAAATCCATCAGTTGCTATCCAATACTTGCAGAGAGGAATCATGACATTCAGGACTCGTTCATGGCTCTACACCATTTGTATCCTCTCCCAACAGTTTTACTTGTTATTTTAAATTATAAAAAACATCATGGGTGTTGTTGCTAGAACTATTATTGTTGTAATCACTACAGTAGGTCACTACATTGCATTTGTATAGATGACTATTTATGTATTTACTCATACTTTATGATATTAACAGTATATACACAATAATTTGAAACTATCTCGACGATAACAAAGATAATTATTGTAATTAACATCAAAATAAAATATACAAATCATGTAACGATGGTACTTCATGCTGGACGTTACTATCAATAGCTAGTTACATGATGCTCAGCTATTCCAGCACACTTATGATTCTTGGGATGCTTCTTACATATGATTAAAGACCAATCCTATAGTTTTAAGAAGTGAAAAGATCGTCATAATCATCCACACCCCAGCTGCAACATGACAACTGAGTGAGTTATTCCACCGTACCTGGTTCTAATGGACTGAGACTAAGTCTGATGGTAGACACTAGTCATAGGACTCAGCTAAATACACTTCTGTCTTCATGGCAATGGAGGGGCAAGCGCCCTGGCTCCTGAAGCAAGTTTGGTTTACTTCTTCTATTTGCACTCTGCATATTTGTTGTTCCTCTTCCAACTTCTCCTTTGCCTCTTGTATCTGTCGTTGTAGCGTTTCTTCTAATGAAGTGATTTTGCTTATTAGCATGGCAATCTCTCTGTCTTTTTCGGTCAGCTCTATTATAATAAAGCATGTCATAATGTAAATACATGTTTCAAGCTACCTGTACTCATGTGAACTGCATGTGATTTGACTACTTCCACCTCTGCTTCTTTCTTAGTAAGCTTTTCTTGTAGATTTTGACTTTTTTCACTAATTGGGCAATCTGACTGTCTTTGCTTACATTGTCATTTATTGCTAATAATAATGAAGCATAATGAATCGTACAATCTGCTACAGTAGCTACCTTTACTCATACGGTCTTCATGTGTTATTTTAGCTTCTTTCAACTCTTCTTCTGTGGCTTGAAGCTTTTGAATTAGCGTTTTGATGAGCCTGTCCTTTTCTTTAGCACCTACATTATTGTTGAAAATCAATTCACACTTTACATCTACATGTTGTGTTACTTTCTTGTAACTTGTGACACAGCTCTTCTTTTATTGGCCTCGCCTACGCGAGGTATAGGTAGTTGTTGTGTGTGTCTGTCATTCATTCATTCATTCATTCATTCTGTACAACTGAAATTTGTTTTTAAT